AGTATAGCTTGACCATTTGGAAGTTAGCAGGATCAATTTAAACAGAAATCTGATTTTTGGGTATCCATTTATGTTTTCCCGCAATCTTTTCGATCGAACCTTTGTTTTTATATACTATCGTGTAGAGCTTGCTTTGCGTTTAATGCACATTTTCATATCTTTTCCATCGCTAAATAAGGAACACGCACCAATTTTGCACCGACTTAATGATGTCCAAAGATTTGAATAAACTTTATGATTGCTTAGGGGCTGGGATCAAAAAGGAAAAATAGCCGACACACACAAAAACATAACCGTTCTCAGAAGAAAGTATAAGAAGTGCAGAAATGTTCAGGAAATTACTCTCGCCGGATCTATTTCCACTGTACAAGGATGACACTGAAAACAGTATACTGTCAATACCAAAAGTTTTAGAGGAATCTGGTCTAAACACTAAGGATCGTGATGCTATTTTGGAGTTGGTCATGGATGTGGCTGGTTAGTCATAACTTTCATTTATATTTTAAGTATAATGAATTTGCAGGCGTTAATGACGTCGTCGAGAAGTCATTGGATTTGCTAGGTAACATAAAAGCCCTAAATTTGGATAAAGATCTGGCTTTGATTACCAAAGCCGTTGATGACGCTTTTGTGGATATCAAGAACAATTTGCGTGCACAACAAAAGCGAGAACTGGCAAGTCGCCAGTTTACCTTTTTGGACAAGCATCAGTTGGAGAAGCTGTACGGAAGGGAAGGTAAGGTTTTGGCAAGAGTCGGTTAAAAAGAATACATTTTCGTAGCGACTCGAGCGTAAAATCATCGTATAAGCAATGGGCTTTTTTGATTCGTAACTATAAGGTTGAACCAAAAGTTCGTTCGCACCATATTTGAAGAAATCGCAGCTTTTTTTCTGCTACACTGGGTGTAAGCATGTTCTCCACCCTGATGGCTCACTAAGCACGGATTGCAAAGATGTAAGAAGCAGATCGTTTAGGGTTTAGTGATTTTAAGCGGGCCTGTCAAGAATCTGAAAGCTGTGCAGCAATCCAGAACAACTGTTACCAAATTTCTGTGACATTATCTTTCTAGATAAGCGAATTTATGCTAATCCAGCTAATTCGTGGAACGTTATGATTTTTGAGAGAATGGCACAGAATAGAAAAAATATTTTTTGGCATTTTTCTGAGAATGAAAATTTCCTAAGGAAAACTCATCAGCATAAGCCTTGCACTATCAAAAATGAGTGGTATCCTTGTCCGATTTTCTGCCATGAAGTCCAAGGTCATAGAGAGTAACCAGGTAGTGCCTGAGTACATGGTTGTTAGATTTGATAAAATTAGACTTGCTAAAACATCAA